CACAATCCCCAACTTGAAACTATACTTGAAAGCCACCATGATAAAAACAGCATGGTACTGGAAAAGAAACAGACCTGAGGACCAGTGGAACAGATTAGAAGAGGCAGAAACAACTCCAGACACACTCAGCCACCTCATCTTTGACAAAGCAGCCAAACATCCTCACTGGAGGAAAGATAGCCTCTTTAATAAATGGTGCTGGAAAAATTGGAATTCAACTTGCCAAAGATTGAAACTAGACCTATATCTCTCACTTTGCACTAAACTAAAATCAAAATGGATTAAAGTTCTAAATAATAAAACAGAAATGCTGAACTGGCTGGACCAAGGTTAGGTAGAACTCTTGAAGACATTGGTGTAGGAAAAGATTTTATGAACAAGCCTTCAGTTGCCCATGAACTAACACAAACAATCAACAAGTGGGATCTCTTCTAATTTTTATTTCTTAAATTCTTTTATTGGTACATTTTAGGTATACAATACTTTACATTTATCATTGGTTGCTTGTACCTGTACATGATGTATCTTGGTTCTTATTTTTTCCCCATTACTCATGGGCCCTTCCCCCCCTCCACCCTTCCCTATTTACATAGACTTCATTTCCATTTTTTCTTTTCTCATAATTTTTCCTTTCCCTTCTTTGCTTTCCCCTTCCCCTCCTACCACCCCTACCCTTTTGAGCATTTTCTTCCTATTTCAACTTATCAATTATTCATTTCAATCATTTTAATCCTCACACTTTCAGTTTCTCACACTAGAGAAAATATTTGGTATTTACATATGTGTGTCATATTTATTTCACTTAAGAGTATGGCCTCAATATGCATCCATTTAGCTGTGAATGTCTCTATTTTCTCATTCTTTATGGCTGAGTAGTACATCATTTTATAAAAAACATAAAATAAAATAAAAAACCACATCTTCTTTATCCAATTTCCAGTTGATGGGCACTTAGGCTGTTTCGAAGCTTTAGCTATTACAAACTGTGCCACTGTAAACATGGGTGCACATATATCGCTGTTGTATGAATCTTTTAATTCTTTAGGGAAGATACCCAGCAGGGGAATAGCTGGGTCAAATAGGACCTCTAGTCCTAGTTCTTTGAGGTATCTCCATACTGATTTCCACAGTGGTTGCATGAGTCTGCACTCCCACAAATAATGGAGAAGGGTTCCTTTCTCCCCATATCCCCACTAGCATTTGTTATTGGTTGATTTCTTGATAGCAGCTATTCTTTCTGGGGTGAGGTGGAATCTCAGTGTTGTTTTCATCTGCATCTCTCGAATG